AAATGTTTAAAGCATTAAAGCAACTATAACTAATAAATAATACAATAATAGAAATCTATCCTATAACAATATTATAATTATCATGTAGATAATTTAAGTGATGAAATAATTAAATCTGATATCACTATTGATGATTTAGAAAAAATTAATCAATTTAATGATAAAGAATATTTACAAATTAGAACTTGAGCAGCAGAAATAGTAAAAAATAATAGTGTTAGAGAAGCAATTAATATTAAAATCAATCGATTAGTCAATAGAAAAGGATTTGTTGTAATTGGACATGATGTGACAACCAAGATTCTTCCTAATGCAGAAATAAAAATTGTACTTAATGCTGATATTGAAACTTGAGTATTTCATAGAATGAATCAGTTAAAATATGAAAATGATTTTACATTAATTTTTGATGATTTAATGCAACATAATTTTAAGTCATATGATTTAATTTAACAAGCAAAACAAATTTCTATGATTATTAATACAAAAAATTTAACACTCGATCAAGCTATTCAGAAAATTTTAAAATTAGTTATCTATTATTCTTTACAACATAGTAAAATTATTCAATCATTTATATTATTTATTCTTATTTTAGTTTGTTTTTATTTGAAAAATATGTATTTATCTAATCAGTATTTATTCATCAATTAGATTTTTATTTATGTAACCTTTTCTTTATTAAATAAATATTTATATAATATAAATTTAATATGGCTGAAGTTAATTTAATTCATTCTATCTGAACTTATTTTGCTTCTAATAATCTTACTAAAACTTATATTTGTTTACAATGTTAAAATAAACATTCTTATCCTATGTCAACAAATGAATCAACATTAAAAAATCATTTTATGATTAAACATCCAGAAATTTGAAATCTTATTAAAAAAATAAGGAAGGACGTAAGAGGAAAACTAAACAAATTACTTTTTATCAAAACGTTTCAACTCCTATTGAAGCAACTTATAAGTCTGTAGTTCAATTTCAAGATCAAATGAATGAAAAAAATCAAATATTAATCTATGAAAATACTAATAGTATTCAATTTGTTAATACTTTTAGTATTATTAATAATATTAAAAGTATTGAAATTAATAATAGTGAAAAAATTTAAATTTAATTTAAATATAACAAAATTTTAGTTGCTAGAAAATGTAAGATCGAATTCAAATAGTTTATTTTAATTTTATTTTATATGTTTATGATATGTATAAGATTTTAAGCTATAATATCTAATCAGTGAATTTTTACTGATTAGATATTTATTTATGTAATTTTATAAAGTATATAATTTGAAAATGTCTAAAAAAACATGTCAACAAAAAGATAATAAAGAAGAAGTTGTTAAAGAAACTTCTTCTTGTAAAATTTCAAAATTTTCTAATAAAACATATAAATTTTATTTAAAACAAAAAAATTAGATGCTTCAAAAAGATATTAGACAAAAGTCTTTTAAATTAGCTTTTTCTAATTCAGATGAATGTTTAGAATTTATGAAAAATTTACTTTGTTATTATAAAGTAATTGAAAAAGAATATGATGATATTGATAAAATTATTCCTTTTAATCAAAATCATGTATTTTATTTTAAAATGCAAGATTGAAAATTAAAAGTATTGTCTGGACTATTAAATAGTGCTAGTAATGATGTTACTAACTTAAAAAAATTAATTAAAAAGTTAAAAAAAAAAGAAAAAAAATTATTTGTTTAATTTTTTTATTTTTTTATATTTTCATACATATATTATTATTATATTATTATATTATATTTTTTATTAAATTTATATATCTATCAAGTTTTTAAAACCTGATAGAA